ACAGACCAAAATGCTAAGCCAGCGCAGCGAGTGATAAAAGACAATGCTAATATCATTATATCACCCACAATAAAGCTAACAAACAGATTTTCACCACTGTCACAGACTGATGTTAACGTACAAACAGATAATGTACTGTCATCACAAAACAAGAACAATAAAGTTGGCAAAAGAGTGCAGGCATACCGGGAATCTGTGCCAAACGTCAAGGTCAGAGATACGTTGCTGCTAGGAGACGGGGCTATCAGTGGTGTGAGTCACAGAAGAATCCTAACATGCTGCTACCCGACGTACACTGTTTCTGAGATAACAAAACTCCTGCCAAAAGTTTTGTCAACACACCAAGGGGTTAAACAGCTGATTGTGCATGTGGGTGCAGTGGACATCAGAATGGAACAGAGTGAAGTCTTGAAAAGGGATTTCACTAAATTATTCGAGGAGCTTAATAAAGTGGAGGTTAAGACATTTATCAGTGGACCTCTTCCCAACATAGACCTAAGGAACAGGAACAAATTTACCCGACTGTTTCAGCTGAACACGTGGCTGCTGAACGTGTGTGCGGCCAGAGGATTGCACTACATTGAGAACTTTGATCTTTTTTGGAAACGGAAGGACCTGTTTGAGGGAAATGGCCCACACCTAAGCAGAGGTGGAGTGAGAATGTTGACGGAAAACCTCCTCCACGCTCTGAGGCACCGGCCTGGACAGGGTCCTGTGCATCCAGTGAGAGAAAAGAGAAATGGGAGAAGCATCCCTGCTGCACATAACAGAGAACCAGCCAACACGTCAGCACCATTGACAGCACCACCACTGCATAACATAATCAACTATGTTGAACTCTCCCCCATACAAAACTGTGCCTGTTTCACCACCAGAGACTCTCTCAGCTCTCCCCTCTAATTTTTCACCCAAACCTCCCCCTACTCCACCTCCTCGGGCCTTACCTGGTCCCTCACCCAAACCTCCCCGTATTCCACCTCCTCAGCCCTCCTCACCTGGTCACTCACCCAAACTCTCCCCTGCTCGCCCTCCCCCACCTTTCCCCAGAGCTGTTATCACCAAGAGCTAGGACGCACAGGGCCTCTGCTGTCCCAGGACATACAGTCATGATAAAGGTAATATCAGGCTGGGGCCCTGCGATGGAGCTATATCTCCAGTTACAACACATAGACAGATTAAAAGAAGGACAGTTAGACTGTCTAATCAGAGAAATTTAGTTCACATTCCCTGTAAGAAGATAACATCCAGTCCTACTGAAACTAATCAGAAACTTGCTGTGCTCAATGTCAGATCTTTATGTAACAAATCATTTCTAATTCATGATTTTATTTCTTCTTTTAATCTTGACTTTATGTTTTTAACTGAAACATGGCTTGACAAAAACACAGGTCGTGCAGTGCTAGTGGAATCAACCCCTCCCAACTTCAAATTTGAATCTGAAACACGAGCAAATAAAAAGGGTGGAGGAGTGTGTGCATTTTTTAGAGATCATTTGGTTACACACAGGTTGTCATTTGGGGTGTTTTCATCATTTGAGTATGTTTCCTTCAAAATGGAGCTAAAACAATCACCGTCCATACTCTACATAGTCATATACAAACCTCCTCAGCACTGTCAAAGTTTTATTGATGATTTTACTGAGATGCTTTCAGTTGTTTGCACAGACTTTGATGGTTTAGTCATTACAGGTGATTTTAATGTACATGTGGATAATGTGTGTGACAAAAATGCCAAAGAGCTTAGTGTTGTCCTTGAAACTTTTGGTCTGACTCAGCATGTCAGTGAGCCCACTCACAACAGAGGGCACACTCTGGACCTGCTCATTACAAAGGGTGTAAATATTTCAAATGTCAATGTGGTTGATGTTGCTCTGTCTGATCATTTCTGTGTCTTCTTTGACCTGTCTGTTATTCCCAAACCAATGGCTGCTCCTACAGTTGTTCGAAGAAGACACATAAATGATAACACAGGTGCACTGTTCATGGAAATGATACATTTTGAAATTGCCTCATGTTCTAATGTTGATGATGTGTTGAACTCTGTGACTTTGAGTGTTTTGAATGTTCTGGATGCCATCGCCCCGATAAAGGTTAAAATGGTTAAAGAAAGGCAAAAAGCTCCATGGAGGAATGATGACTCAGTCAAAGCACAGAAAAGGGAGTGCCGGAAGGCTGAGCGGAAATGGCGCAAGTCAAACCTCCAGGTTCATTATGAGATTTACAGAGGAACAATGCATATGTACAACTACACTTTGAATAAAACAAGAGAGAAGTATTTTTCGGACATTATTGGTAATTGCAGTAACAACTCTCGTGTCCTGTTTGCAACAGTGAACAGATTAACAAACCCTCCAGCTCCACTGCCACTAGAACTAATTTCCACATCTAAATGTAATGAGTTTGCAGTTTTCTTTAATGACAAAGTTCAGGGCATCAAAAATGCCATCAATTCCACAACACAAATAACAAGCATGCAGCCACAGAGACACTTAGAGCTGAATCACTTTGCACCTGTAACTGACAAAACTGTTTTAGAGATCGTTACCAGTCTGAGTTCATCTACCTGCTGCCTGGACATGTTACCCACTAGATTTCTAAAGTCCGTCCTCAACAGTTTACTTTCACCACTCACTCACATAGTGAACATGTCACTTCAATCTGGAACATTCCCAAACGCGTTGAAAACTGCGGTCATTAAGCTAAAGACTAACTAAAGAAGAGCAGTCTTGATGCCACAGTACTGAACAATTTCTGACCCATCTCAAATCTGCCGTTTTTTGGCAAAGTCCTTGAAAAAGCTGTTTACCAACAGCTTACGAACTTTCTCCAAATGAACAACTCCTTTAATGTTTTCCAGTCAGGTTTTAGAGCCCACCACAGCAGCACTGAGACTGCTCTTATCAAGGTGACAAATGACATCCGCCTGAACACTGATGCAGGCAAAGTCTCAGTCTTGATCCTGTTAGATCTGAGTGCTGCTTTTGACACTGTCGATCATGGGATCCTCTTACAGAGACTAGAGGACTGGGTGGGCATCTCTGGTACTGTACTAAACTGGTTCAAGTCCTATCTAGAAGACAGGAAGTATTTTGTTGAAATTGGAAACTGTGTCTCAGATCACATGGCCCTGACCTGTGGGGTGCCTCAGGGGTCAATCCTGGGCCCCCTGTTGTTCAATCTCTACATGCTGCCATTAGGCCAGTTAATAAGCAGCAATAACGTGTCGTACCACAATTATGCAGATGACACTCAGATCTACGTCTCTCTGGCAGCAGGAGACTATGGACCAGTGGAGTCACTTGGTCACTGCATCCAACAGATCAGTGTGTGGATGCAAAACAACTTTCTCCAGCTAAACTCTGACAAGACTGAAGTCATAGTGTTTGGTCCACAGAAACAAAGGGACAGTGTCAGCAGTCACCTCCAGTCTCTCGCTCTAAAACCTTCAAATCAGGCAAGAAATCTAGGGGTAATAATGGACTCAGACTTGAACTTTAACAGCCACATCAAATCAATAACATCTGCAGCCTTTTACCATCTAAAAAACATAGCAAAAATCAAAGGTTTACTGTCTAAAGCAGACTTGGAGAAACTTATCCATGCGTTTGTGTCCAGTAGGTTAGACTACTGTAATGGTCTGTTCACTGGTCTCTCAAAACGAGCTGTGAGACGCTGCAGAACATCCAGAACATCCAGAACATCCAGAACGCTGCAGCTCGGGTCCTTACTCGAACTAGGAAGTACGAGCACATAAGTCCTGTGCTCAGGTCTCTGCACTGGCTTCCTGTGCCTCAGAGAATAGACTTTAAAACAGCTCTGCTTGTGTACAAGTCTCTCCATGGCCAAGCACCAAAGTACATCTGTGACATGTTAGTGTCATATGAACCTTCTCGCACTCTGAGGACCTCAGGGACCGGCCTCCTGCTGGTGCCCAGAGTCAGGACTAAACAAGGGGAGTCAGCGTTTCAGGTTCATGCAGCTAAAACCTGGAACAGTCTTCCTGAACATGTGAAACAGACTCTTCTGTGACGCTGTTTAAATCCAGGCTCAAAACATTTCTGTTTAACTGTGCATATAACTGAAAGGTTTTCATTCCGCACTCTTCTCTCCAATTTATGTCTCTCTTTTTTAATTTTAATCTTCATTATTATTTATTTTAATGTATTTCTTATTCTGTAAAGCACTTTGAATTACTTTGTGTACAAATTGTGCAATACAAATAAACTTGCCTTGCCTACTTAAACCCCAGCATCTACAGCTAAGTGCACCAGTGCTAGTGCAGCCTCTGCAGCTCACATGAAGCACTGCCTGTCTACATACTAAGAATGAGAAAGCTTGCATGTGTTGCTGCAGGTTAAGGCCCTGGCAATCCAGGTTCAGCTTTAATACCCATTTAATGTCTATCTTTTTTTTCAGACAGGAGCTTAGCAGGAGGAGCAGAGAAGTGTTTAGAGGGTGAGTGCCAGGAGGAGCAAGGAGGCCTATGAGTGTCTAACAATATCTACAGTACAAGATCAGCAGTGCCAGTGTGTGTTTATTTTATTGATTTAACCCCAAACAATACGATGAACCAATCCAAAAGGGTCATGTTTCAAGTTTATTTGTAGGTGATGTGTTGATGTAGCCTGATGTTATAGGCTACTGATAATGCATCTATTAAAAGTGTTTAAAATTACACGCATGCTCTTGTGCAATCTTTATATGACATTAATTTTATTTTATTTAAGAAGGCTGTGGATATAGTTTCATTCTTCTCCCTCAAGGTCATTCAAACCATCCTAATGATGAATGTTTCTTTCTTAAGCTGTGTTTTATCATCCAAACCCGCAGACTGAACAAATTGACAACTCAACCCATAGTCTGTGTGATTCAACCTTAAGTTTGACTTCTCTGGTCAAATACGTAAGACAGCTCCATGATAATTGTGTAATAGCGGGTGCAGCAGGTGCAGTGTTGCTTTAACCAGTAAATAGGTCTGTGTGTCAGCAGCGCTTTGCATGGATTTCCGGGTGCATCCTAGCTAGCATCATCTGCTCCTCGGTCCTTCTCTGTCCGCTGATCACACGTCCTCCACAGGCCAGGACAAGCACCGAGCCCTGCATTTCAGCACCGGCTCCATGTATAATTGATGTCTACCAGCTAAAGCCAAAGCGGGCGCAGCAGGGCGGCCAGCGGAACGAGTCATGGCGGCGTCGCTTCTCTCCGAGACCGACATCAGGCACCGGTCTATGGCGGAGGAGGATCCGAACGGCAACGAGCATGGGGCGGCTGCACGCAGCGCGGCACCTCGATGGGGTCCTCAGCACGCCGGGGCCCGACAGCTAGCGACGCTGTACTCGCCTGGTAAGCGCCGTGTTAACAACCGTGTCAAAGAGCGTGTGTTTAGTCAGTGCGGAGGAGGCGCAGTGTGCGGGGCTCCAGTGTGCGGGGCTCCAGTGTGCGGGGCTCCAGTGTGCGGGGCTCCAGTGTGCGGGGCTCCAGTGTGCGGGGCTCCAGTGTGCGGGGCTCCAGTGTGCGGGGCTCCAGTGTGCGGGGCTCCAGTGCGACATGAGGGATGCTCAAAGGTGAAGGATGGCGCTAGCATCATGCTGCTGCCCACAGCTCATTATGTTCACTACACAGGCTACAGTTTTACTACCCAGGTTAGGGAGCAACATTGTCCTTTGCATAGAGTATGATCATTACACATCAAGGCAGAAAGTAGCAGAAAGTCAGCTGTGCTAGACTATTACTGCGATATTTCACAGTGTGTTGAGGAGGGCAGGTTACAGGCTGGCCTTAGGCTGTTGATGTAAGTTGTATAATTGTTATGTCAAAGCCTGCCTCTCTTTTAGACTGTTTAGGCTGTTCTCTTTAAGCCTTCTGGGATATTTTAGACTGTTTATTTACGTTCCAGTTCCATCAGTTCTGTAAGTCAGTCCCTATATTAGTTCCACATACCACAGTAACATTCAGTATTTGACCTTGTTTGACCAAGGATAAGTTAACAAGTATCCATTATGTTCAAATGTCAGCCTTCAGTTGTTCTATTTGATACAGAATATCTAAACAAGTATGGAGTAAAGTTTGAAGATCTCCCTCCTGTGTTGTACATCTTAGTTTAAAAAATAAAACAGCTTAAAAAGCTACAACTACTACTACTACTACTACTACTACTACTACTACTACTACTACTACAAAAATACATTACAGTGTGGACCAAATAAGGCCAAGGCCAAGGCCTTGCACTGCCCTGGACCTTTATTGGAGACTTGTTCAGTTTCTTTTTGGTTATCCATCTTTTAAAGGTTTGATGAGTCACTGGAGACAGACGTAAACTGGACTTTTGGTCTAAACCTGTCTGTTTGGCCAGTTGTGTGTGGACTGTGCATCCTCACCATCTGCCCTCCTTTGCACTTCACTGAACATCTTAATTGCCTCTGGACACACATGTTGTGACTTTTTATGTACAAAAATAGGGAAGATGGTCCAAATAAGTTATAATTTCACTTTGTTGTTGTCTTTACCTGTATGACAACATCTCTGAAGTGTCTGGCAGTGTGACTGCTAACAAACCCTCTGGTGTTTATTTTTAGACTAAGAGAAGGTGTCACCTTCACCATTAATGTAATTGGGATGTTGTTTTTATTCAGTGCCATCACATTAGAGGGAAGCTCTGCTTCTATCTGTGTTTAATCTTCTGTTCAACACTCTTGTTTCAGCACGCATATTCACACACACATGCACACACATGCACACACGCTCACACACACGCACACACACTAACACACACACACGCACACACTAACACACACATGTTTTAGACTTTGTTTGCCTTTTAAAAAGTTGTGAATGAAAGTCCATGAGAGGAACTGGTTGAAGTTCAAATTTGTAATTAGACTGACCAGCCTGACCCTGTTCTGTTCTCACATAACACCACTAGATGGTTTCTGTGTTAATGCTGTCTGATAATGTACCTGGTCTGCTCTGACAAGAAGACCAAAGAGACCAAGAAATAAACAAATAAACAAGTATCTAAATCACAAGCGTAAAGTGTCTGAGAGCCGCACAGACAGACAGCCTAAGCTCTGTCACTAAGTGTTAGATTGCTGCTGTTATGTTGAGTGATGGATAAGAGGATCACATGTATTTGGGTCTTTATCCTGTGTCTCTGAGAGTCTACAGGGCTCAGTTGAACAGCCTCCCTCTGCACCTCTGACAAATCTGATACTGGAAACTGCTGATTTTTTGTTTATTTATATATACAGTAATTTGTGCTTTTTGTATTTGTCATTGATGTTTTGCCTTTTACCAACAAACATAATACAAAAAAGGTCAAAGCATTTGTGGCATGATAGAAAATTATCAAATTAAAGAGGACGTAGGTCAGATTAACTCATGAACTTTAAACTGTCTCATATTAGTAGCAAACAGAGGAAATAAATACATTTTTAAAAAGCTTTCAAATTTTATATTTACTCTTGTGTTGCCTCATCATTAGCTTACTCAAAGTTGTATTAATTGATTCATGCATGTTTTGAGTGATCCTGTATTTTCCTGCAATAAGGCTTGAGGGGTCTGAAAATATCAGTTTTCACCTACCCACTATCCCCGCCTATAGCACTATAATAACATGTGATTACTGAAAATAAAATCATACTCCTGTCTTGTTCCTACGTGATGTTTAGCAAAAGAAAAATTGAATTCTGTCAACTTGAGAGATGTTTAGTAATTATGCTAATATGACTCCGGCACAGTTCACACTTAGGGCCCGATGTTGCCCTCAATCTTAGCACTAGTGCAAGCATAGGGCATGGGACTTTAAACAAGAGGTGGCTGAATATCAGGTGGAGTGGAGCAGACTGAGGGCGTGGTATGTGTGGGTTTTTTCGGAAGGTTCCATGCGTGTCCTAAAAAGAAGCACGAGAGATGGAGAATCCGAGAGAACAGGCCACTTTATTTCGTCATTTTCCATTGAGAGGATTCAAGTTGATTACCATGTACAACTGTCACCCCGGAACGACACCTCAATGACCAACTCAAAATCAGGGGTAGCTTTATACTACATCTTGACAAAACATTAACTTGTTGATTTAGCATATACAGCAAGAAAATGAACAATACTGCTGACCCAGTACACCTTATCATGGGTGGGAACATGCCACGGGGTCCACATATGTCAGTTTTGCTGCTTCGTGGCACTCAAAGTCCAGAAAAACATATTCTTTATGGCAAGAAAAACATGTTATGTAGACCTATGGATATCACACGTGTTTTTCCACCCTGTTGTCATTCTAAAGTCCATAATGTTAGGTGAATTTAGCATGGCCCACCACATAATTTCCCACATATGCCATAATCGTAAAAATAAGTATTAAATTAGTCCATAGAAAAATGTGTAACATGCTCAATGTTTCTTTTATTTGGAAATATACTGGGATGATAAATGCTACATAACATAACATGTTTGTTTTCCCTGCGGGATGTTCGTGTGCTGTCCAGATGCCCTCCTGCAGCAGAGCACAGCCCCTCGCCCACTTCCTGTATCGGCTCAGCACTGCTCTATAGTTGGGTTTGATCTGGATCTGTATAAAAGCTGCTCATTCACATGAGGCCATTTAAAGCGATGTCCTAAAGTGTGTTTTCTTACCCTGTCTGCAGTTCTAATGCTGCCATGTCTGATTTCCTCACATCCTTGTGTCCTTCCTGTCATCATATCTATTTAATTTTGTGACCAAATTTTTCCCATTCTGCCACTTTGATTAGTTTATAAAGTTAGTCTCAAATAGGTAGGTTACCTTCAGAACCGTAGGAAAACTGCACAGAGCCGTGGAGCGGACGGTGACAGGGATCAGTGCCTGCATTCACTGACAGCTCAGGGCTGTGACAGCAGAGAGGATGTGCTTCTCATATACACTGCTCTCTTTGCAGCAGTGGTCAGTAGAGCTTTGTACAGCGGCTCAAGCGACGTACATTGCACATGAGCACTGCTCTGTACAAACACCTGCACATCCTGCTCTGTACGTGCATGGCGCATATCAGTCACTTGTGTCGGGCAAATGCAGGTCGTGTGATAATGATTTAATCCATGTCTGTGCGCAAAGCGAACATCAGGAACATTTAGATGACAATAAACGTATTCCATAATCAGCGAGGCATCCACCTGTGTGGGACAAAATGCAGTGGACACCGGTGAGACAAGAATGTGAGCGGTCAGCAGTAGCAACGGTGAAAACTCATACCTCAGGTCAGAGACGTGGGGGAGAGCAGTGGTCAGCGGGTCTACTGTGGGATGAGGAGATAGACACTGGTCAGCTGTGTAATGGGAGGCAAACGAAATGAAGAACGTAAAGAAAACTATAAAAGGTTGACGTGTGTGCGTGTGCACGGGCTTACAGGGGTGCGCATGCTTGAGAGGGGCGTACATGTATGCAAAGTGTTCGGAACACAAATGCAGCCTCTTCTGTCATGGCCCATGCAAAATTCTATATTCCTGATGCCTCTAGTGGTGTGTACTTGCGTTGTGGGGCTCCGGAGCTGTTTTACTGTAACCATATATAATTTTCCACACACCCCTCTTTGCTTACAGATTGCAAACATTACCCACACTGGCAGTGATTTTAAATGCTACAGCGGTCACAGATTGGTTCAGATGCGGTCACCGTACTTGTACCATCCCACTCCATCCTCCAGCAGCGAAGTACAGCCCGGCCTGGACATGCCCCCTCCTTAATGCTAGCACTAGTGCTAAGATTGGGGGCCAGATGTGTGAACAAGTGTGTGTGTGTTCATTTTTGTTTCAGTAGCTCCTCCCTTCATGAGCAATCTGACCAGAATTGAATTTTTCTATAGATCCTACCTGAATGACTGATTGATTACACAGACACCTACATGAGATGTTGGCATTAAACATGTCACATGGACATTTTTTACAATGCAAATGCTACAGTGAATGCAATGAGATGACACATTCTGTATATTTATTTTAGAACTTTAATATCAAAAGAAAATTCAATTCTGTCAAGTGGTTAAAGATGATTCACTCCTCATCCAAGCGGCTTCTTCAGTTCTGGTCAGGTTACTGGACACTGCCTTATATCTGCCTTCTATGTATCTGAAGGGAGGAGTTAGCTGCACTGGAACTAACTTTTTTGCTTACAGTTTCATTCAGTTGACTGAATTGAATTTTCTTTTGACATACATCCTACCTACTTTAGAACTTTAAGATATAAAATCAAAAGTTATTTGTCAGTAAATATGATCCATTTGTTTGGTCTTAAGCCATTGTCATGAAACAGGGTATCCTGCTGATATCCTCCTGACAACAGACCAAAGCAGTGGTCACTTACAGTCACATGACACAA